CAGGAGGCAGGTGCTGGAGGTGAAGGCTGTGGAGGAGGAAAAGTATCGGATAGTGCTGGAGGTGAAGGCCGTGCTAGGCTGTGGAGGAGGAAAAGTATCGGATTAATGAGAGATGTTGAAGCTTGTTGCTCCAGAGTCCCAACCGGTTTCTCTGCCCTGCCGCCTTTCCCTTCCCCTGCTCCTTTCATTCCCAGGCTCCCACCCTTTATTGGTGTTTTTTAAAGAAGAGAATTGGCCGCATGCACCACAAATGTTAGTTCTTACTGGGGGTGAAAGTAACTTAAATTTCTTACAGGGACTGTCCTATCACACCCTGTTCCCCCCACCCCGCCCTCTGTTGGAGTGGCTACCGGTGTGGGCGGAGGGGTTGGCCATACAACAGTATCAATAAGAAATTAAAAGTGTGAGGTGGAGTGCAGTGGGCTCAGGGCAGAGGGTTCGGGTGGGGGGAGGTGCAGGAGTAAGGGCTGTGGATGGGAATGCAGGAATCAAGGGTGGGGTGTAGGAGGGGCTCAGGGCAGGGGGTTAGAATGTGGGGGGTGCAGGAGTTAGGGCTGGGGCTGGAAGAGGCACGGTTGGCGTATATAGAGGGGGCTCAGGCGGAGGGCTGAGAGAGTGCAGGGAGGGGAGCAAGGCGACATTGCAGGGACTGGGGAAGGGGCTGCAGCTGCATTTTCCCCTTTTTCTTTTTGTTGCCTAGGGAGCGAGGCAAAGTTCTGTGAGCTTCCCTCCTCCACTTTCCCCTGGGCAGCCAGCAGTGAAAGCAGCTTGTGAACTTTGCTCTTGCTCCCTTGTCAACACAAAGAAAAAAAAAAAAAACTCTGCAGCCTCCCCCATACCTCTTGAAATGGCAGCGGACTCTGGGCTGGGACAGTTTCAGATGCTTACCTCCAGCTAGCCCCTCTACCCTGCTAGGCTGCGCCCAGCCCTCCCCCACCTCCGTCCTCCTTGTGGCTAAGTAGCGTTCCAGCTGGCAAGTTTCCTGACTGAGCACCGGGATGCACCAGCTTACTTTTACCTCTGGTTCCTACACTGAGCTCCAGCTCCATTCCCCACTCCCATGAAGCACCAGAACAAACACTCCCTTACCAAGGGTCACAAGCTTTACATTCCCCCATCACACAGCTCTTGGGCAGAGATCTGTAGGGTCCCCCTTTCCCTCCATTACAGTCTCTCATATCTGGCATGTCTTCATTTTCAGAGAACCTGCATCTTTAAGTTCCTTGGAGCAGTAGCAGTGGATCTTGGGAAAGACAAGATCAAGCCATACCTCCCAACTATCATCACCCCTCTGCACAGGGAGCTGAGCAGCACCTATGCGGAACAAGGTAACAGTGCCATTCCCTTACTGGGGTTTGGCATAATCTGTCCTCAGACAGCCCCCTGTCCAAACGCCTGTCGTTCCCATTGTCCCCAGCCCCAGATGCCTTTGTTTGGGGGAGTGGTTGCTAATTAAAATATAATCGACAAATATGAATCATTCCTCAGTGGTGGAGCAAAGGAGATTTAGAAGGGGAAATGAATGACACCAACAGAGACTCAGGCCTCTGAAGGCAAGAACGTGAAGGCCAACAGAGACGTGGGCGGCTAAGGAGGGGCAGAGATTCAGGCCTCTGAAGGCAAGAACGTGAAGCTTGAAAATTATGTGGTGGAGGAAAGGGGCCTAGTTTGGTGACTTATGCAGAGGGAAAGGGGGTTTAACCAGCCTGACCAACAAGGAAGGTGGCCCAAAGGCTGAGTGTTGTGTTGACTGGAGGTCCACATCAGTGTCAGAGACTAGGGTGAGGAGGATCCTGGATGACAGGGCTGTGGTGTTACAGGGCAGCAGAAGGCACCAATCTTGTTACAGTTGCATTGCAGTTTGTGTATAAAATGCAACGCTACTGATTTTTTAAAAGATCAGATTGCCCTGGACATTGATAGGCTGGTCTAATGACCCCCACCTTCCCGTGCAAAATTGGGGTCACTAGGTCTATGCATCCCCAAGGTATAGCTCTGTGCCCCGGCAGCTGCACATTCCATGGGCTTTGCAAGCATTTACTCCCCAACTCTCGCCCCATTGTTGGGAAACAGGCATGGTGAAGTGGAGGGGTTGTGTGCCTGCAGGGGCTATGGGAGCTGCAAAGGCTCTTGGCTGTGAAAGGGGGGGTTGGGAAGTGGGATGTGTAAACATCTGTTCCAAAGTGATGTTTGTTAGAGCTCCCCCTCGCCCGGTTCTTGTTATGCACAGAAAGCACATGGGCAGAGTCCAAAGCGCAGGCACTGCAGTTTGTTTGGTTCTTGTTATGCACAGAAAGCAGGTGGGCAGAGTCCAAAGCGCAGGCACTGCAGTATTTATTGTGATTACCAAGCAAGCATAATCCACAGCTCTGTACACCAGGAAAGCTTTTTCCTGTTACCTTTTTTCCCACCTCTTCCTTAGCAGGCTTAATACGACCAAAGATTCCACAAATTACGGTCACGTTCTGTTCTAGAGGGTTAGTGTGGGGCCTCCTCTTTTGTACCCCATGGGAGAGGTATGGAGTGAGGTTGTGTTCTGGCCAGTCAATGTTTCTTTGGCTTTTTAGTGTTTATTATGCCTCCCCTTGCCCCTCTTGACTGGTTGCTTGATCTTGCCTTGATATGGAATCGAACCAGCTGTATATTTGGCAAAACCAGCATCACTTCAGCTGTTTCTTGTCTTTTCTCATTGTACTAAAAACCTCATCTGGCTCAGCAGAAGCACCACAGAGTGCCTTTGTTCCTTGCTCACTTGTTAACAAGGAGAAAAAAGTCAAAAGGGCCAACAAAATCCCCAGTTCTGTCTCAGGCACAAATGCCGTATTATTGTCACTGGTACTCACCAGGCAGTTGGGAGAGTGAGCAGTCCTTGTTAGACTTCACTCTGATTCCATGGAGCAGAATATCAAGGCACTGTAGAGACAGAGGCAGGCTCTACTAGCACACTTGTTTAAAGGTGTCTTTTCAGAGCTCTAAAATTCACAGGCAGAAACTAATTATGTTGGAAACAGGTCAGCTGAGGGCCTGCACTACAGTGAGTGATGCTGAATTGGAGTAATTTAATCCAGGAGTTCTTGAATACTCTAACACACACATGCAGAGTACTATTGGCTTGGAATTTAGCATTTCAGCTGGGATGCTGCAAACCCTGGAATCCCAAATGGCTGGTCCTGCTGTGCTGAGCATCAGCAAAGCACTGGCTAGAGCTACAACTAAAACACAAGCACATGGGCATGTAGCCACAAAGAAAAGGCAAGGTTGGTGCAGGGCTCATGAAGAGGAGTTGGGAATAGGCAGGCTCGTTACAAATATGAAGCACTGAAAGCTGGAGGGAGGTAGTATGTGCCCTTGTAGTATATGAAATGTTCCTTAGTTGGTAATCCTTGTTCATTCCTTCCTCCCAGTGGAAAATTAGCACTGGAAACAGCCTTCCTTCCTCCCATGACACTCAATGACTATTCTCCATCGTGGCCCACTGATAATGGCTAAGGGAAGGTGTTAATGCACATACCATTTCTATAGGAAACTTGCTGTCTGAGTAAATGCCAAAGTTGCATGCTGATTTGGCCAGTGGAAAATTAGCACTGGAAACAGCTGCTCTTTGCTTTTAAGACTTATCCATTTGCATGAAAGCACTGTCAGTCACATACAAGCAGTCCTCTAAGTAGACTGTTTTAGAATGAGGACTTGAAGTCATCTCTCCTCTTTATTTCACAGATCCAACACTGAAGAACCTATCCCAGGAACTCATAGAACTGCTGAAGAAATTAGTTGGCTTGGAGACCTTTTCACTTGCTTTTGCCTCTGTGCAAAAACAGGCTATTCAAAAGAGAGCTATCAGGAAAAAACAGAGAGCATTGCAGGTAAGAGATTCTCCATTTTCATTGCCCTTTCACACAGTACTAAAAATGTTAATCAGGACCTATTGCTTCAGATGTGTTTGATAAGAATTTTTCTTTAATTAAAGCTGATAGTCTCTTTAAACATCACCATGTTCTTCACAAGAAAAAAACTTCTGCTTTTTTATTAGACTGTAGCAAACCCTGATATTGCTGCCAGGAAGAAGCTGAAGAAACACAATAAAAAGCTAGAAGCAAGGAAGAGAAAAATAGAATTCCTGCGCCCTGGCTACAAGGCCAAGAAACCAAGAAGTCACGGGCTAAAAGACTTAGCAATGGTGGAATGAAACATACTTGGAAACGGTTATATGATCAGTATATATTTGCTGCATAAGCCCAATTGTGCAGTACTGCTGGCCAAGAGGCTTCTACTTGCTCAGATACAATGCCTAATGCAGGGTAAAGAGCTCCATATTCCACTGCATCAACTGTGTAAAAAAGGAAATATTTAGATACTGTTTTAATGTATTTATTTGTAATTATTTTAAGAGTCTGCATAGATCCGCTGTGTAAAGGAAATATTTAGATACTATTTTAATGTATTTATTTGTAATTATTTTAAGAGTCTGCATAGATCCTGTCTGTCACCTAGGATTTCATATAAAACCATCAAGCTAGCTGTTTGCTCTCTTCCTAGAGAAAGTATTAATACACAGCAAGTCAACCTGTTATAAACTATGGAACACATGAATGTACAGTTTAATGTACTCCGTTTTTCTAATTAAATGTGCTTGCAAGCACACTGGTTGTGGTTTTGATGAAATCTGCCATAAAAAGCTGTGCAAGTCCCTTAAGCAAAGTTACTCATCCTTAAGTGGAACAGGTGGTAGATTTATAATGTGACTCTATAAACACATTTAACTGCAGACTGAGAGGTAAGAGGGGAGAAGGAAAGTATTCCACCCGTCCCTAATTTGAAAGTGATGCCTGCAAGGAATATTAAAATACCTAGAGAGCATTTGTGGGAAAGCATCTATGCAAAATACAAAGAACCCTGCTTTGGCATCAAAACTGGAATGTCCTCATCTTTCAGCCCATATTGACAAGCAGTGGTCAGGCTTTGAAGGCCTGATATACCCAGTACAGAAATATTTAGACAGGTGACACTTCAAAGATATTTATTAGTGTTTACATGAATAAAACAGCTGGTGCCACTAAAATTCATAAGATTTATTCTAACCCATCTCAGGCTATTTTCAATTAAGTCTCCATACAAATTAACATAAGTACATACCTTGACAAAGAGGAGCAAGGAAGGAGTATTTTAATATAATACATAGACATTCAGTTGATTCAGTGTACGTTTACAGATCAAGTCAAGTCAGCTCCCTTTACAAGAGTCAATTCCCATCAGTCCTATTTACAGTGTGTGGCATTAACTTGCTTGACTGAAGAGAAAAGGTTGCTTGGATGTGTTTGACCACCATACCATGTGGCAAATTGTTTTACTGCCTACTCTTCAAAGCCTCCACCAACCTAAGGGGGGGGGGAAAAAAGCAAATTTACTTAAGTCAGTCCATTTCTACTATGCTGAGAGGTTGTGCATTGCACACTGGACTAATGAACAAAGCATGAGCTATGACATTTAGAAAGTTAAAATGAGCACTAAAAATATTAAGTGTTTACATCTTTTTGAAGAGCAGCATTATTAGTTATCAAGAGTTGAATTAAACAATTATTTACCATTCCATTGCCTCATCAAGCCCAGTGCCTTTAGTTGCAGAGGTTTTGAAAATCTGCCACTTTCTGTCCTTCAAAGCTGGTAGGCCAAGTGAGTTTGCCATTTCTGTGGGAGTCATGGCCTGCTCCATGTCCTGTTTGTTTGCAAACACCACTAAGATGGCTTTTTTCAGCTCTTCTTCCTAAAACAAAATTCAAGTAAGTAACATTTTGCTCCTGACCTCAAGAGAATTTAAAGCAAGCTGCAGCGTTCTATAGGTAGAGAAAACATTGGTTTTCAGTCTCTCCTTATGAAGAAAAGAAAGGTCCAAGGCTTACTGGGCAAACCTTAGTTAAAGTTTGATGCCAGTTGTTTGCTCCTAGTTAGTTTCAAACAAACTTTTACAGAATACTTAATCGAATTGAATCATTCATTGGGCCAATAAAGATATACAAAGTGTATTAAATTCAACTACTTAGCACACAAGTCATCCTATTAAAATCAGTGACATTCAAAGCCAGCCGACATGGGCCCCAAATGACAAAGCACTATGAAGCTATATTAGTAACAGATTAGATTCAGTCTGGTACCCACACAAAGGCTTATCTGTACTGACATGGAAGACTGACAAAAGCATTAAACAGATTGCATGGAATTAAGTTGTCCTACTTCCTTCTGAAGGAAGTAACATTAAAGCTGCTATTGAAATATTTGCAGAGTTCATTGTAGTAATGCTGATTTGTTTTAGATTTTCTAAGAGGAAAGATCTGCAATTAGTATTTCAAATTATCTAGAATAGTACCCTTGTTTTCTTACCTCCAACATGGCGACAAGTTCTGATTTTGAGATGCCAATTCTGTCTCGATCACAGCTGTCTACTACATATATAACCGCATCCGTATTTGAATAGTAACACCGCCAATATGGCCTAGAAGAAGTAGTAGTGGCTAGTTTAGTTTTACTAAGTGAAAGGAACCCAGCCCAATGGCAGATTGATGGCCAGTGCTTGAAAAAGCCACTTGGTTCAGGGAGAGTAGAGTTACCCCCCCACCAACATGACTGGCTTAAAAGGGGGAGGGAAAGGCACAGACCAGTCCACCCACTACTGCTCAAACAAGGAGTCTTGAAAAAAGGGTAAGAGTAAAACTACTTTGGTACATCTTCATGCTTCCCCAAAACGACTTGTCCCCAAGTTAACTTCATGGTTTTGAAAGGGCAACACAGAAGAGCTGTTTGTAAGCCCCATTTTTTACCCTGAAAGCTTAATAAAGTTTCACAAAACTAGTAAGAAAAGCATCTGTCATGGATTTTGCTATTAAAGCAAAATAAGGCAAGCAAAAAAATATTTGATTATGTGGACAGACTGGTAACTGAGTTCATAGTTAACCATTTTAGAATAACTGTACCTACTGCCATATTTTATTTAGGATCAAAAGTGAGGTCTGCACTTGAGGAAAGCAGTACTTGATCTTTAGCATCTAAAGTTTGTAAAAGTCTATTTTTGAAAGAAACATGACAATTTTACAACACAAACTTAAGAACATGCCATACAACCACTATCCACTCATGTTAACTGAAATGCTTCTAAAATCAATTTTATGAGCTTGATGTTGAAAAATACAGAGCACCAAAATTCTACATAGTCACATGAATATCAAGCTCCAGTTGGTCATTCCAGTGTGGTTATGCCATATCAGTCTTACCTGATACTTGTCTGTCCTCCTAAGTCCCAGACTTGAAACTTTAGATTCTTATATGTTACTGTCTCAACATTGAAACCAATTGCTGAAATATACATAGAGAGAGACTGTTAGTGCTACTGTCAGAGAAGACATTTCAACAAGAGAGAACCTGTAATGTGTTCTAACTTCAATTAGACTCTTTAATCCTCATAAGTGTAAATAACTAGCTCTGGAGACTTTAAGTCCATATTTCTCCACAGGTAATGTTAGTGGCTTTTTTTTTGTGATCCAATAGTGCATATTAGTACCCCAAATGCATGGTAACAAAATTCAAATGTGTGGCTAAATACTTTGTGTGTAGTTAGCAACATTAAAAGTCTTTTCCTGTACTTCTACAGCACACTATAGTAACTGGAGACCCCCAAACAAGGATGCATGAGTTTCCAGCATCTTCTAAAACCTGCAGATTAAACTATACATTGTGTGTGCACACATCTCAAAGAAAGTCTATGTATTAGATCGTCACTGGATCAATTATTCTTTACAGCACTTACTGGGGATGGTTGTAACAACTTCACCAACTTGTAACCTGTACAGAATTGTTGTTTTTCCTGCCCCATCTAGTCCCAAGATTAAGATTCTCATCTCCCGAGTGCCAAATAAACTGGAAAAAATAGTGGAAAAAAAGCCACCTAAAAACAAAGAACACAAACAAAATTTTAGTATGACGTTGCACTGGCATTAACATGAAGTCAGAGGTTTGACAAATGTGTCCTATTGAACAGCATGAAGTATCTGCTTTAACCTGAAGTACTGGATTGTTCCCTTCAGTGGAACTGAACACAGCACAAGCTGTTGATTAGTTACATACCTGTTGCTCAACCACACCTACCCATTCCTGTTCTCTAAAAGTTTGACCTTAGCAAGATCAGGTGGCAGAAGTAATCTTTCCTGCAGTCAGCATTTGTTTCTCTACCAGCCAGTAGTGAACTAATTTTTTTTACTATTATCCTCTGCATTTTTTGGTACACTAAATTACATAGGGACCTTCAAAACCTGATAATGTTAGAAAGGAAACTAAGTTCTCCTTCAGTATCACCCACCCACATGTATATTTATTGGTTTAACAGAGGACATGTTAACTGAGGCCAGGCCTACGCTATACACTTCACATTGGTAAAACTATATCGCTAAAGGGTGTGAAAAATCCACACCCTACAAATGTACTTATAGCAGCCTAAACCCCTGGTGCAGACAGCTCTAATGTTGATGAGAAGCTTGACAGATGAAGGCAAGCTGTCCATGGGACACATCACCTCCACAAGAGGTGAGAGCTAACTACCGAAGCAGCTCTCATGACTGTTTTAAGTGTAGTCATGCTTTCAGTGAGACTGGATGCATTTATAGTCAGTGCAAATGTCTAACGCACCTTCAGAAATAGGGAGGTAATAGTGTAGTCAATTAACCAATAAGCAAAAGCTTATAGTTTAGACTACACACATTTCCTCCCCTCTTCCAGTAAATTTTTTAGCAGGCTGGCCAACTACACACATTTCCTCCCCCCTGCCAGTAAATTTTTTAGCAGGCTGGCCAACAAACCCGGCTCAGTCCTGGCGCTCACAGGGTCCAGGACCAACCCCCGCTGCAGCTCTGCATTTAAAGCGTATTAGGAGCCAGGTGGGCAGGCCAGGCCGCCTGCCTCAGTTTCAGCTCACACCAGATCTGGGAGGTCAGTCCCACTCCCAGACAGAGTTGCTGCCATTCTGTATCAGAAGCAACAGCACAGGGTGACAAGCAGTTAGTCCACAAGGGGAGCTGTTTTTTAAACGGGTTCCTGCCTGGCACCCTGCGCTGCTGCCTCTAATGTAGGGGCAGCAGCACAGAGTGGCAGGGGGCTCCTCAGAAGTGGGGCTGGAGCACACTGGCTGCCAGCCCTGCCCCCAGGTATTACAGAATAGTTGAGTAATCAATAAGAATTCATAAGGTTAATCGACTATTCAATTAACCGATATTTAACATTCCCTATTCAGAAATGCTCCTCTCGGGTGGGACAGAAATAGGGTGGCTCAGCAGATTGTTAAGCTTCCACTATGGAGGAAGACAGCACAGTACTGCAGACTAGTTGAAAGTCAGGTAACGTTTTCTTTTGGAGATTCGTTTTTTAATCCAAATAGAGTATGTCCTAGTCAGGCCTTAGTTTCAATTCAAAGCTTTAAAAAGCTGGGCTAGATTCAAAATTTGACCTTTTTGATAAGAGACACCACCAAATCAAATTAATTAGAAACTTTACATCAAACAGCTATGACTAGAAGAGACACTCTTACAGGACTCCCCCGTTGAGAGTCTATGGGTTAAGTTTAGAGGTGCAAACAACACCAGTGATGTTGTGGTTGGTGTCTGCTACAGGCCACCGAATCAGGTGAATGAGGTAGATGAGGCTTTCTTCGGACACCTGAGCAAAGCTTCCAGATCACAGGCCCTGGTTCTCGTGGGGGACTTTAATCACCCTGACATCTGTTGGGAAACCAATACGGCAGTACACAGGCAATCCAGGAAGTTTTTGGAGAATGATGGGGCCATGTGCAGCTTGACCTTCTGCAAGGATCCAACTAGGGGCTGTGCGCAGTTTGACCTTCTGCTCACAAACAGAGAGAAACTAATAGGGGAAGTAGAGGTGGGTGACAATCTGGGAAGCAGTGACCATGAGATGGTCGCTTTCAGGATCCTGACCAAAGGAAGAAAAGAGAGTAGTAAAATACACACCTTGGGACTTCAAAAAAGCAGATTTTGACTCCCTCAGGTCTGATGGGCAGAATCCCCTGGGATGCTAACATGAAGGGGAAAGGAGTCCAGGACAGCTGGCAGTATTTTAAAGAAGCCTTATTGAAGGCACAGAAAGAAACCATCCCAATGCACAGCAAGAGAGGCAAACATGGTAGGAGACCGGATTGGCTTACAGGGGAAATCCTTGGTAAACTTAAGGACAAGAAGGAAGCTTACAAAAAGTAGAAACTTGGACAGATGACCAGGGAGGAATATAAATATCGTGGCAGGGTGTTGCCCTGCACTGGCCCTTTAAGGGGCTGGGAGCTGGAGTGAAGGAGGGAAGCCCAGCTGAGGCAGCTAATGAGGGCCCAACTGGAGGCCATATAAAGCAACTCCTGGAAGGAGGAGGAGTGGAGGAAGAACAATGACTCCCACCTGGAAGATGTGCGCATGCGCGTGCGCATGCAGACCAAGAGTGGAGTGGTCACTGTGGGAGGGCAGTGCCCTGAAGAGAACATCTCACCCAAAGGGGGTATATTGGTGTCAGAGCAGCTGGTTACTTCTCCAAAATCCACCCTGAGGGAAGAAGCCGTGTTGGTGAGACCAAACCTGCTACACTGGATAAACCCTAGTCCCAAAATAAATAAGGTGGCTAATCCTATATGGGATGAGATAAGGTTTAGGGGAAAAGAGGGCCTAAGGGGAAATTCAGACCTAACTTTCTTTGGGAATCTGACTCACTACAGTACTACAAAACCAACTCTGTTACACTATCAATACAGAAGTTTATAACTAAGAAGGCAGTCTCTAACATCTCTTTTCATTTCTCTAGGGACATATGTATACTACAGAGTTATTTGGAAATAACTCCCATTAATTTGAAATAACAAGGTGAGCATCCACATAGCAAGACTGTTGTTTTGAAATTATTCAAAATAATGGGCTTATTTCAACATAACTCATTGCTATTTCAAAATAGGAGTTATTCCTCATAAAATGAGTTATGTTGAAATAAGCCCATTATTAGGGTTAGAGTGGACACTCAGTTGCTGTTATTATGAAATAATTACTCCCCAGAGTCATTCAAAGTAATTACTCCCTAGTGCTTCCGGGGGCTCTAAAATTGAGATAGCGTGTCTACATTAAGGGAGCCTGCTTCAGACTAATTTCAAGGTTTCTCTGTAGCTATAGTTAAATAATTATTCTGGGAGTTATAGTTTCTAAATAAGTTATTTTGAAATAACCTGGTAGTTTAAACATAGCTTAGGTGCTAATCTATACGTTTGGTAAATGGTGCCAATTTTTTTTAAACTTTCACAAAAAAAGTCAGTTATCCCAAGAGAGGCTTGACTACCTAACAAAAACAGTTAACCTTTTATAACTATTGTTTTTTGAGATGTATTGCCCATTTCCATTAGTCAGACCCTTCCTATCTGTCTGCATCAGAATAATCTGGCAAGAAGGAACTGTGGGGGCTAGGGTCAGCTGCACCCTTTATACTGGGCATGTCAGGACACTGCTTCGATTTCTTACCATCAATCTTCATGTACTTAAGAAGTACCACCGAAAGAAAAATGTCTAGTTGTGCATGGGGTGTGTGCACACCATGAGTGGACAGACATATCCAACGCATCTTGATGAACAACAGTTACAGAATTTTAGAAACCATTTTTAATTTGGCTATATTTTTTCTGCAGCCTTATTTTTCTTCACTCCCCCCAGTCCTATACAAGGAGAGGCTGAGGGAGTTGGGTCTGTTTAGTCTGCAGAAGCGAAGAGTGGGGGGAAGGGAGGATTTGATAGCAGCCTTCAACTTCCTGAAGGGAGGTTCCAAAGAGGATGGAGAAAGGCTGTTCTCAGTAGTGACAGATGGCAGATCAAGGAGCAATGGTCTCAAGTTACAGTGGGAGAGGTCTAGGTTGGACATTAGGAAAAAATATTTCACTAGGAGAGTGGTGAAGTACTGGAATGGGTTATCTAGGGAGGTGGTGGAATCTCCATCCTTATAGGTTTTTAAGTCTTGGCTAGACAAAGCCCTGGCTGGGTTGATTTAGTTGGAATTGGTCCTGCCTTGGGCAGGGGGCTGGACTTGATGACCTCCTGCGGTGTCTCTTCCAGCTCTATGAGTCTTTGATTCTAAAGAGGGTTTCAGCCCACAAAAGCTTATATCCATTAAATGTGTTAATCTTTAAGGTGCCACAGGATGCCTCCTTTTTGCTGAAACAAACTAACAGCCCCTGAAGTTTTGCTGTGAGAATAACCCACATACACACACGCCAGTAAATGAAACAATGAATTCACAGGATTGTGCCCCCTCTCGCCTAGAGCAGGGGGCTGGACTTGACCTTCTGAGGTCTCTTCCAGCTCTATGGTTCTTTAAGTTCTTTGCCACCTAAACTGATGCATTTGCTGACAAACATCCGTGAAAGGAGCTTTAACATTTCTTACAGGTCGTGTCCTGTTAGAACCCGCCCCCTGCCAGCTCTTTAAACAGCTCCCTGCTGGCTTCTGCCATAGCTCAGCACCAGGGGCATCCTCCATGTGGAACACGCTGCTTTGCCGCCAAAGGGCAGTTTCTAGCAGCAACACTGGGCAGTGCAGATGCCCCAGCCCAGCGCCCCCCTGAC